TGCATATTATTTTGCTAGCTGAGCGCAGCATTTAAAAAATTGTAAAAGTTTTTTTTACGAGTAAAATTTGCAAAAAAACACTAAATCGCACTTTTAAATTTTAATCATCAGCAAATCGCATATATTACACATACCGCACGCATATCTTACAAATTCTTATCGCATAAATTCCGTGTCCCTGACTCATCATGAATTAGACCTGAGCGTGAATCACAGAATCTTTGTTAATCAAATGCAATTTTGTGTATGCATTTTAAATTTTTTCTTTTCATAATATAATCTCTCGCTATGTATTATACCACAGTCTGCTAGAAGTTTTAAATTGGTGGAATGAATAGATCTGGTCTTGTAAACTCGTCACTCTGGTTATATCAACATCTTGGTATACCAACACCTGGTTATAACGACATTTTTTTAAGATTTGGGCCTATATGCTTACAGCTGTTTTCATAAATTCAAGGACGCCTAAAAATTTGCTCGTTCTCGAAATCTCTTCGATCTCTTTTTAAGAATCACCTAATTTTCGGGAGCTACAAGGCTGTCTCTATACAAATTAAAATGTATCGAATTAATAAAATATCTCGTTTAAATATTCGCTATTATTAAATTCCTCAAGCGCAACAATAAAATCGCAAAAACACCTTTGCCAATTACTCTAATATTTCAAATTAAGAATCCAAATTAATTGGTATTTATCGTCATATAATAACGTTCTTATATCACCTCAATGTCAAGATATTTATATTTTGATTTGATGATTTCGTGAAATATTGATAGCAATGTCCAACATTCTTTTTCCCTCAGCACTGCCTATCTTTGTAGATTTTTTAAAATATTTGAATGCCTTCCTACTTCGATAACAATCTCCAATACTAATTATTCCTTCAACAATGCAAATTTTTTATAATATTTGAATGTCTTCTTTTCGTCATTTTCGACTCCAATTCCTTTGTAAAAGCAATTTTCAACCTTATTTATTCCATTAGCAAAGCGCATATTTGCAGAATTTTGATTATTCGAATGCCTTCTTTGCGTCCTTTCGATTCCGATTCATTTATGGTAACAATATCCAACAATGCCCATCTTTGCAGATTTTTTAAAATATTCGCGTTGAAATATCATATATTATCTAAAGTATCACTAATTTTATGTAATTTTTTTGATCAATTTTGAAGATTCCTTTGACCCTAACCAAGCCGCTCTTGAAGAAACGAAACACATTACGTTCGTCTTTGACTACTCCAACTCTGTAACAATAGAATATATTATATGCTCCTTCGGTGAGATTCAACGTATGTAAGATTTTATTAATGGATTCGGGCTTTAATGATGGTTGTTAAGAAAAGTGTGATCATTATACTGTGTTTATTAAGAAGTATTCTTTTTGAACCCATAACTTTCTATCTTCCTCCAATTTTATTATAAATAAAAAGATCATACATATTTATTCAATGTTGGCATGGACCCGGTTAATGGTCAAGTTTGACCTGACCAATTTGACAAAGGGTTTAAATTGGGTCAAATAATATTTATATATCGATATAGAATATTATTATATTAGGGGATAATTTATATTTTCATGCTGGTTTTAGATGTATGGTAGCAAAATACTATTCCGGAAAGATCAATAGTATAGTGTTCCAAACTAATTTAGCCAGCTTCTTAGCTAGTTGATAGTTTCACTGTATCAGCCGGTTATGGTACGACCTCTCGTCATTTTTCCGAAAGGACAAATTAGCTGGCATTAGTTACAATGATGACTGATTTAGGCGGTATGTTCTTTCGGGAAATCGTACTATAACCATAAGAAATTTGATTAGATATATATAGCATAACAAAAACTTTACGTATAATAAAGCATTTGGGTAATTTGAAAGATCGACTGCATACGTAACAATAATTTGTTTATCCGCTGCACTTAGCTAAATTTGTTAAAATCTTAAAATAATTTACGACCTAATGTAACCTTAAATCCATAATCTTTTGTTTTCAGGAATTTAATACAAAATCATTCTAAATATTTTTTTGGTTAAAATAATAAAGAGGAGTAAGGATTAACGATAAAGAAGCGTAAGATTTCCAAATAAACTGTTAAGATCTGGAGATAAATTTCCACGCCATTAAAAGAAAAAAATAGATATAAGGCAACAGATTTTGTCTGCTTCGTTTTTAATAATAATAATAATATAAATATATATAAAGTATTATACAAACAAAATTTTTTTCAAAAATTGTACTTTTTTCTCTTCTTTTTCGAAAAATTTTTTTACAATAACATCAATAACAATACCAAGATTAATCTTTACACAGAGATAAGAATACTATTCTACAGTAAATCCAAGTTTACAACCAAAAAAAAAAAACTGTTTCTCGAAACGAGATCTAGAAAAGGTTTCAATCTTTATATGGCCGGGGATTCTAGTCTTCTTTCATATTTTCGCTATCAATGTAAAAATTTAAAAGGCAGTAGTAATTAATATTTTGCATTTTTGTATGTGTGTGCAGAGGGAAAGCTGGAAGTGAATATTAAATTTTCACTATGGCAAACTTAGGCCCTGGGAAATTACGATATTTACGTATTGGTATTGATGATCGGCGGTTTGTTTTTTTCATCTCCGGAGTCTAAACTTTAGACTTCTGGTGGAGATGAAAAAACCATCGATCACCAATATCGATACGTAATATAAATTTCTCAGGGCCTAAGTTCGCCACAGTAAAAACTTAATCTTCACTTCAATCATATATATTAATAGATGCTTACTCATAATTATCTTCTGGTAATTGACGAACTGGCCGTCTTCATAATATATACATGAAGTTATTGTTATAATAATCTTCTGGCAATAGTAACTGGCCGTCTTCATACACCAATTGATTAGACATGACGTTATCGCTATAGTAATCTTCTGGTAAAAATAAATGACTGTCTTCATAAATTTGCCCTATTAAGCATTATATGGGAGATATTAATAATTATACACATACAAGAGTGAATATATATATGTGACTAACAAATAGATAATACCAGAATGAGAAACAAAGTTGAAGAGATTATTAACTTGATCTGCAGGTAAAATCCGTACTGTACGTGTCATGGATATAAGTATAATTCAAAAAAAAAAAAACAAATAGATAAAAGAAAAAAAAAATCTAGAGAATAGCTTTATAATCACACATACACATAGGTGGCATAGTTGATACATTATTTTGGGATGGAACAAATTCGTCACTGGTAGAAACTGGGTTAAATACTGATTCTGCAAATACCAATTCTGCAGATGGTGAGTCTGTTTTCCTTGTGTTCGTTTCTAAAGAAATGGATAAAGTTGCCTCTGTATTTGAGGATTGAGGGAATGTAATCATTTTTCCTTCTTGTTGATTAGCATTAAAGCGTGCTTCTTCTGGATTTTTAATATCAACTTTAAATTTGCTCATAAAACGTTTCTCTTCCTCTTCAGACCTACGTCTTTGCTCGCTCTGATGTTTTCGTGGTTCATAAAATATAAATTGACATGCTCTATTACTATTAGACGTTACGCATAGGTCTTTACTAGTTTCTGCTTCTTCATTTTTATTATTAGACATCGCGCACAGATCGATAAATAGACGAGTATAATTTTTTTGTAATTATGAGATCAAGAACTCGTTAAGTACTTGGTTCATATTTGAATCTATCCGATTTCAGAAATTTCTAATTTGGTAATATACTTTTCAAGACATTTGTTTTGCGTATTCATTCTCTAAAGCCAATAAATTTAAATTGTAACAACGAAAATTTAAGTTCTATAGGCGCATCATATTTTCTATACCCGATCCATTATCTGATTTGAGTCATGACTATATTTAGTCATGTCTAAAATTCAGACTATACACAGAAATAAAGTATTTTATATGTAGCTTGTGTATAATAAGTCATTTCGTTCACGGATTTGTCGCGAATCAATTTATTTTACATAAAATAAGTAATTTCTATTTTAGGTGTTTGCCGAAAAGATCGATAAAGTTGATGGGTGGGCTGAAAGTTAGTTATAAACATTGTAGCATAGCTACTAATACATTATTTTTAAAATAAATATACTATAGGATAAAACGATAATATTTGAATATTGCCGAAACGTGATAAACAATTTTAATTTTTGATCAGTCAACAAATTCGGAGATCAACCAAAGCTGAATAATTTAAAATCAAGATATTCGGCTTTAGATGACTTTAAATTCATAAATTATACAAAAGAATCATCAATTTCGAGTGGTTACTTGTCGATTAGGCGGTATTAATGAATACAATTCAAAAGTATCAATAGTAAAATTATTATATATCCATTTTTACTTAGCGAATATAATTTATGGATTCATCCATGTTTTGTGGTTATAAGATAAAATTTATTATCTAACACGAATTTTTGGAGCGTGATTGCTCAAAATCGATATATCACGTGCTCATGCGCTATAAGCAATTCTAAGGAATTTAGTCATTTAAACGTTCTGAATCTTTTCGTATTAAAACTATTCAAAATTACTTAATATCGAGAATCAATTGAAAAATTAATGTACTGTGTAAATAAATATGTATATATTATTACTCCAGTACTTAACGTCAGATCTGAAAAAAACTGAAAAAAACTGTCACGAGTGACGATTTACATCTCGTGATACTTTTTATGGAATTACTTAAATCAAGTAGCTCTTGTTTTCTTAATTCGGAGATTTCCTTAAAGAAAATCAGATTGACAAATAATTTGCAAATCGCAAAACAGTCTATAGCGATAGTCTATGGCATTAAATAAAAATAGCTCTATAGCGATAAAAGTCTATATAGCGTTAAATAAAAATAGCCCTATAGAGACTATATAACGTCTATATTAAAAGCTTTTATTCTAAACCAAGGATTAAATAGTCTCTTATAAATTATTACACCTTCAATCGAGATTTTTTATTCCGCGTGACAATCTGATTAGGATGAAAATTTGTAAATTTATGAATCTTCTAAAAGTAAATCTAACAATTTTATTAGTAGTCATTTCCCCGCTGTCATATTAAAAAGACCAGGGCTTGACATCGATTATCTTCATGTGTCCAAAATTTCAACTCTAAACAGAAAGTGACTTTAGATACGAATTATTTGCTAGTATTAATGTAAGTGTAGACAGTAGATGTTCTACCATGCTTTAGAAATGGTTGTAGTACGTAACCTGATACGTACAAGTTTTTAAATTAGGCATTTTCCTTTTCGGGTTTGGTGTGACAATAAAAAAATTCGGTGGCATTTATTTTCCCGAAAATAACACTACTCTTATAAATTCCCGGAATACTTGAAAAATTATCGATGACCGAATCGACAAATTTTTGATGTCGACCGATGTCGATAGCTTATTGATTCCAACTCTCATATAAACAGAAGTTCGTCTGATTGGCTAATAAATTCAAATTAATTTTACATTATTTATACAGTTTAAAGTACTTTTTTAGAAAAAATAAA